CAATTAAAAACGATCAGACGTCAGCCTTTCATTTTAGGTATCTGACGCCTTTACATTAAAATTAAGTAAATCTTCTCACCAACTGCCAAGTTTTATACCTTCAGTATCAGGTTCAAGCCCTCTAGTGGTGGATACGAGCTATCTTTGATTTGCATGTAGTTACAATTTCATGATGAGCTCAGGATATTTTTCTTCTAATTATTAATTAGAGATTCAGACTATGTACAAAAAATTATTTAATTTTTGAGTCTATCAATTCATCCTTTTTCACACACCACAGAAGTAGCCTTTTACATCGGTTTGAAGAAATCACTTCATAAAAAACGTATAACAATAGGTAAAAATTTACAATTAAAAACGATCAGACGTCAGCCTTTCATTTTAGGTATCTGACGCCTTTACATTAAAATTAAGTAAATCTTCTCACCAACTGCCAAGTTTTATACCTTCTGTATCAGGTTCAAGCCCTCTAGTGGTGGATACGAGTTATCTTTGATTTGCATGTAGTTACAATTTCATGATGAACTCAGGATATTTTTCTTCTAATTTTCAATTAGAGATTCAGACTATGTACAAAAAATTATTTAATTTTTGAGTCTATCAATTAATCCTTTTTACACACACATAGATAGACTCAAAAATTAAATAATTTTTTGTACATAGTCTGAATCTCTAATTGAAAATTAGAAGAAAAATATCCTGAGTTCATCATGAAATTGTCAAAATATTTGTGTTTTTCAAATAAATTTTTGTTTGTCTCCTTTATAATAAATGAATTTATTTATTTATAAGTAAAAATTGAAAGTATCTGTAAAAGTAATTTTTTAAAATATACTTTTTCGTGATAAAGATTTAATACTTATTACTATAATCTAGACATGTTAATCCTTAAATATACAAGTATATTTAAGGATTGGTCCACAAGTATATTATAATATACTTGTGGCCCAAAACTCCATGACATATTCCTATGTGGCCCAGAGAAGCAAAACGGTTGGATACCTCTGGTTTAGGATGTGATAACTGGATAACTCAACTTGTTGAATTTGTTTTAGATAATAATTATTTTATTTTTAATGGAAATTGTTTTAGACAATCAGAAGGCAACTTTATGAGCTCTTGCATAAAGTTGCCTTAAACTAGCTGAACTATGCATGATAAAAATAGACGATATTGTTAAAAATATTTGCAGTGTGATATTTTACAAACAGTAATTTGGCTTATATTTTTACTTGTACTTGTCAACTAGAATATTAAAACTAGAATAAGAGAGCATATATGCACAGTAAAATAAGCTCAGCAGTCACCACACACTACACACATTAGTGATATCTGGCAATCATTACTTCAAAAATAAGAATAGCCATTTTAAGATGTTCTGCCTTCCCCTCCTC